CCCTGATCTTAGACTTGAGGCCTCTACAATGGTGAGAGATCAACTTCTGCCCTTCACACCGGCCAGTGTGTGCCATTCTATTATGGCAATGTGAGCAAAGGAGGACACACAAGTCCAGGGACAAAGACCACAAACAGACAGCAATGGCATGGCGGCCTGACTAGGGCCCGCGGCAGCAAGCTGCTGTTCCCCTTCCCAGAAGGGCCTACACTGGGGCAGGGGCGCTGCCCTCCTTCACCAAACCGTCCTGAGCAGCATCTTCGCACCAGGTTTTGGCCATGAGAGAGATAGATGGAGTCCCCCGCGGCGCCATCTGCAGCAGATGCCTCCTTCCAGCACTGCAACCTGGGATCTGGCTCCCTACTGGGGCCTCATTGCTGGGACACCAAGCAAAGCTGCCACACTGGGGTTCAAATGCGCAATCGCTGAAATAAATGATCCTAAATCACTCAGCAAGCTGAAGGTCACGCCTCCATTTCCACTGCAGTCATTAGGCTTTGGGTAGAAAGTTTGGAGACAAAAGGTTCGGTCAACTTTCATAGAGGGGGTTTCACAGGAAAGGCAGCGCTGGCTTGGTGTTACAGGGCAGGGTAAGGCAGCCAGGCTCAGACTCGGCCTGCAGGGCTGCTCACTCCTGATAAGCCAGGCAGGTGAGGCACCGCATGTGCCAAGTAGAAAACCCCACAGGCTTGGGGCAGGACCCTGGGGGTGGGTGCCAGGTAAAATGGGAGAATTCAGCTAAGGATCGTGAGGAGACAACCAGGCTAAGGCAGGGGCAACTCCGCGTTCATCCCGTGTTGAGACCCCTCTGCTGAGATTTGGGATCATGGCCTGACTAAAAGAGCTCCTTTGGGTTTGTCATCAAGAATGAACATCATACACAAAACGCCTTCCAAATAGATTGAAGAGGTAACAGCAAAGCATTAAGCTGTAAACATGGAAGAAAACTTGAATTGCTATTTATCAAATTTCTCAAAGGAAAATAAGCAAGTGTGAAAAAATTGAAGATGAGAGATGATTGGTCATGTTAAAAGATTCTATAGACAGAAATTGATACATTTTAAAGAGGGTAAAAAGTAAAAAAACCAAGTGCTGGCAACAAATTTAACTAAATGGTTTCATATAGTTAGTATAAGGAGTTCACCAAGATAAATTTTTAAGAAATGTTGCCCCTGGCACGGTGGCCCACACCTGTAATCTCAGCACTCAGGAGCCTGAGGCAGGGGGATTGCTTTGAGTTTGAGGCCAGCCCGGACTACACAGTGAAACCCTGTTTCAAAACACCAAAAATAAAAACATTTTTAATTTTAAAAATTAAAAAATCATCCAAAGGCCTTTAGGTAGCTCAGTGGTAAAGTGTGTGCTTCACATGCATGAGACCCAGGACTCAACCCTGGCACCACCAACAATAAAAATTAAAAATGATCCTTCAAAAACAAACAGGCAGGGCTGGGGATTTAGCTCAGTGGTGCCGCCACCTGCCTCACAAATGCAAGGTCCTGAGTTCAATCCTTGATACCAAAAAAAGAAACAGGCAAAGAACATACATTGATAGCTCACACACAAAAGAGCTAACAAAATATTTTAAAATATTCAATATTGCCAGGAACTTAAAAATTACTAATTAAAATAATATACTAGTATTTTTACTAGTTTTACAAATTTACAAATTTACAAATTTACAAAGTCACCACACAGAGTGAGCCCTGTAACACACTGCAGGATTGTTCATTGACATAAATTTTTAAAAGCTACTTGTAATAAATACTAACAGCTTTTGGCTTGGGAATTCCACTGCAGGAAGTCTAAGAAAATAAACAACCTATAAAATATACATAAAGATGATTCTCTAACAGGGAAAAGTAGGAAGTAAAATAAATGTTAAAAGGCTGCTCAGGGGCCAGGGATTTAGCTCAGTGGTTCCACCGCCTGCCTTGCAAGCACAAGGTCCCGAGTTCGATCCCTGGTACAAAAAAAAAAAACCTACATTGAATTCCCTCTCACCCCAGTTAGAATGGCCATCATCAAGAGAATACAAAACACAATAAATGCTGGCAAGGATGTGGGGAAAGAGGAGCCCTTCTGCTGGTGGAAATGTAAATTAGTACAGCCACAGTGGAAATTAATATGGAGGTTCCTAAAAAAACTGAAACTATGCCGGGGATTTAGCTCAGTGGTTTCGCCACCTGCTCCCCAAGCACAAGGACCCAAGTTCGATCCCCGGTACCCCCCGCAAAAAAAAAAAAAAAAATCAGCATTGTAGGATGTCTATGTACTCATGTTTATTGCAGTGTAATTCACAATAGCCAAGACAAGGAACCAGCCTAGGTGCCCATCAACAAAGAAAATGTGGTATATACACAGTGAAATATTATTCAGCCATAAAGAAGGCAAAATTGTCATTTGCAGGAAAATGAATGGAACTGGAGATCACGTTAAGTGAAATAAGCCAGACTCAGAAAGATACGTATTGCATGTTCTCCCCAATATGTGTGGGGGTGTGTGGGGGTGTCATGAAAGGAGAAGACAAGAAAGTATTAGACAAGAGGAAGTCAGTAATGAGAAGGATGCAATACATGTAAGGGACAGTAAAGAGATGGGTATAATCGAAATGTGTTATATGCACATATAAAACTACCACATTGAAGCCAAATAGTTTGTAAAATTAACAGGAATTAATAAAAATTTTTAAAAGTCCCCCTTCAATATCGTCCCCATCCCTGTGGTTCTGATGGTGCTGAAATGAACCCCCAACTCCAGGAAATACACACAACTCAGGCTTGACCGATGAGGGCACCCTATTCCCAGACAAGGACCAGGCCCAGTCAGCAAGGGCTCCCCACTCCTGGACACAGTGATTACTTAGGAAGGGCTGGGGCCCAGCCATCCACTTTCCTGTTATGATTCTGGCTGCAATTAAAACCAGCACAGTGGAAAACAAAGCCAAGAAATAAACTCTGGATTCTGAAAGAGTATTTAATTATCAGTGAATTTCTCTTTTGTTTAAATTACTTTGACAGTCACTAGCAATACAGTCCTGACACACTACTTTTCTGTCCCAAGGGTGCTGATCCGGGGAAAGGTCCTGCAGCCCTCCTAACTTACCCTGGCGGGTGGTTTCTGGGAACGTAATGAGGATACCATATAGGAGAAGAAGTGCGATACACAATCGATACGCAGCATGATCCCAGCCTTGTTTAAACATTTCATCAAAGCAAAGATTGGAAGAAAATACAAAACATTAGCAGCCACGCTAGCTGGTAACATGATGAATTTTTAAACTCCAACTTTGCGTATTTTCAATACACACATATATACATATTTATGTATCTTACAATAGAAAGGAAAAAACAAAAAGAAAAAGGCTGATGTATTGATTCAGATTGCCTTTAATTTCACAAGAAGCTTCAGTTACGATTGCCTTCCCAGACGAAAATGTGTAGACTTCGGGTCTGTGCGTCTGAGTTTTGTGTAATATGGACCAGTGGCATTACGCAAGGCAGGCCATGAGCTCCTCAGCTCTAACCCTGAAAAGCACGGCCCTTTATCCAACGGCAGCGCCTCCTCCTCAACTCCTGTGGGATCCTCATTGAATATTCTAAGGGAACAGGACATTTGCAATCTCCAGTTGGAGCACTGACCCTTGCTTCATTTTATAATGGCTTTTTCTCCAACTCACTGCATACCTGCAAGGACTTCGAACCTGGACTGGAAGACGAATACCCGAGGTTACCGGCCGTGGTTCCGTAAGGACCACCGGCCCTGTCCAGCAGAGCAGAAGAGAGGCGAGTCAAACATCTGCCAAACGCGGCCGTTCGGCCCTGAAGCTTCAGGCACCTCCTCGGCCACTGCTTTTTTCTGTGTTGATCTGTTCGTAAGTAATCAGGGCTCCCTGGGCCACGGCCCTCATCCCCTACCTCACCCCTGCTCGGGCCAGGCCTCTGGCCTCCTCTTGCCCCTGCTGAGCTCCCTTTATTCCAGCACCCCTCTAACCCTGCCCGGGGTGTCATTCTTAGGGACTTGATTAGCTGGTCTGCGCAAAAAGTAGTCTACCCTGCCCTCTCGTGGCCACTCCGAGTATAACAGAGACACATTTGTACTTTCCATTAAAAGGAATCTATCTGCCTGTGCCTGCTGCAAAAGAGGGCTGTAAAACTGAGAGGCTCGAACGGATCCTTAAAAATCAGAACTATTTGCTTCTAAGGCAAGCTGTTTTCTCCAGTTTCCTCACGCTGGGTGGAAACCACAGCTCCTGGCCCCAGCCTTCACACAGGAGGACTCCACATACCCTGGGCCCCTCTGCTGGGCTGAAACCTGGCTAAATCCACACACGTGCATTTCCTGGCTGTTGTCCTGCCCCGCAGATAATTAAGAGTTCATCTGTGCCCTCCTCGGGGTGGGGCGGGGTAGCTGCTCTCCCAATTTGGCCAAATTGTGAATAAACTCATTTTTCCATTTTTATAGGCTTTCCTTGTATTCTTGCTGGCTGTAAATAAAATGAATCCACAAAGCCAGGGCCCAGATTCAGGTCTCTGACAAAGTCCTGTTGGCAACAGCTGGCTTCACCCTATAGAATTGGGTCCAACGCGAATATGGATGCTTTTCTATGCTGCCACATGTTGAAGACAAAAAACATGTTAAGAGGGTAGAGAGAGAAACCAGACAATGCCCAGAACCTCGTTCTACCACAGGGTACACCAGCACCCAGGCTAGACTCTGGCCAAATCCAAAACTCTAACACAAGTGCTTCCCACTAGTAGAGTTCTGTCACTCCCTTGGGCTTTGGGGACCACTGGTAGCTGATCAGAGCACATTCAAATAAAACCAGAAAAGAGGGCCAGGGATTCAGCTCAGTGGTTCCGGCACCTGCTTTGGAAGTGCAAGGTCCCAAGTTCAATCCCTGGTACCAAAACAAAAAAACAAAAAAAAGAGTTCCAACGCTGGACCATGACATAGGGTAATAAATGTTAATGCCTATATTTAAGAAAATAAGTCCAACATGCTCTGTTAAATAATGCTTTTAATCACAGATTCTTAGTTTTTTATATTAGTACATGTCTGTGATACATGAATACATTTATCATGGAATTATTGATGCTTTGAATAAGAAGCCTATTTTACTAAATTGAATGTACACCACTTTTCTTAAACATAAGCTGTCTGCTAGATTTAAATTCATCCTCTAGTTTTCAAACATGATGACTCATATCTGACTTTTCTCTTTTCCACGTAAGGATTCAGTGGCTTAATTCTCAACACTTTGACTCTCATACATCTTCAAATCATGTACAAAGGTGTAAAACTAGGGTACCTTCTCTTCTGAAATGTGCTCTTTTTAACTGCCATATTATCTTCCCACAGAAAACTGATTTAGGTGGCAGAAACAGTAGGAGCCATACAGATTTCGTGTAGTTGAGGAAGGCTGAGGTCCTTATCGGGAGTTAGTATTTAAAAAGCTGTGGAGAGCAGTTGAGGAGGGGAATTTTGGCTATGGCTGAAGCTGGTCCATACGACTACTTAGAAGAGAAAATCAGAAACAGGCAAAAACCTCTGTCCTCTTTCTTTTGTAATCCCATTTTGGGAAAAAAAAAATGGACGTGTTTTGAATGGAAGAGGCTGATTATACAGAGAGTTATACAAACACCTTGTGTTCTAGGTAAGTATGGCTTTAGAATGTAAAAAGCTTAGAAAGTTCCTTATAAGAAATAGTTTTGCCCTCTGTTGGATCCACAATACACAGAATTGTCTGAGCACCCCGTATCTCCCTGAGGCCGCCCTCTACCCCACAGTCTCACAGCTCGGGGGCATCTGGGGCAAGGAGGGGGCACCCAGCAGGGTATCTGCCAGGAATCAAGCACCTCCAAGAGCCAATGGATGATCTAAATCTGGTACTTGCTCTTTACAGGGCACCACTGAAAAAATGAACTAATAAAACAAAACTTCTTTGATTATAAAGATATTTCTCTATGCAAATGGGTTCAAAATATGAAAAAAAAAAAAAAAAAGAAGGAACTGAGCAGTCACATTTTTCCAAGAAATCCAGGAGAATCCAAAATTATTTTGTAAGCAAGCAAGCAAACTAACCAGCATGAGAGAAAACTGAGTAACTCTCTGGGAAATGCCCATGAGACACTGGGCCCTTTCAGTGCGTGTGAGCCGTCCTGAGAAATTTCACCCGGGAAGTTCAAGTCACCACTGTGCTTCACCTGGAAAGGGGAAGGGAGAGGAAGAATTCTCTCATTAAATTGAGCTGGCAGATCTTCAGTTCATTCACTCTAGGGAAGACCTAGAGAGACTTGTGAGGCAAAAGGTTTTT